ATTAAAATTTTAAAGACCATAGTAACTAGTAACAATTTTAAAAAAATAATTATAAACTATTTAATGTTTCTCTAATTATATTTTTAAAATTTAAATGATTTATTTATTATATACGAGAGTAAATAAAAGTAGAATACAGTATTTATTGTCGGCAGTTGTTTAGCAACAAGCAGACAAGCAGAGAAGATATTAAAATTTTTATCGGATATACAGATTAAAATCTAAATGCTATAGTTACCAAAATAGCATTTACAACAGGACGAAGCAAGCGTATACTGAATTGGAAAAAACGGATGAAGTTATCGGTCGCCATCTTGCTTCGGTTGTTGGTCCGTATCAAGAACCGTAAACTGAAAAGCTTCCGTTGTTTTGTCATGAATAGCAAAGTGTGTAATTCCTCTACTTGAAAAGACACCTCGTGTCGCTTACGAGATGCAAACGGTTGATTGTACGTAGCGTGACGTTAAAAACCGATTGATACGAAAGGGTGTCAACGATGTTCTACCGTAACAACAAATACTATACACCGTTTCCTTATTCTTCTTTCCGGCCGGAAATAATTGAAACGGAAACTGGAATCCGTTAATAAACACGCTATGGATGTTAATATATGCCGTAACTTAGCAAATAATTATTCTATAATCTTTTTATGGAGTTGGTCCAACTAATGAAAATCTAGTGTTTCTTCTTTACAAAAATTCCTCGAATGCTCTCGCCATCGTGTGAAAGCCAAAAATCGTTTTAGATAATAAGTGCAGCATTTACTAATTATGGGATGTTGTAAGAATTCAAATCGTATTTTTGTAATCCTGTAAAATATTCATTAAACGAAGATCGTACCTAAGTTGTGATACACGTGATGTGTGTTGGTATGCGGAAGACTCCACCCAAGAATCGTTATTTGGTATATAAAAATTCAGGATAAATTATAAAAGAAATGTCTCATAGTTTAAATTATGTTTAATTAAATATTTATATACTATACGTCTATCGGTATGTTTCCATTATTATTATTATTTGGGATGTAATTTTTCAACAAAACGCTCTGTAATTATGAATTCGCTTTATTTTAATGCAGTTATATAATTTCATTTTTAACATAAATCACGAATTTTAGCGTGGTAAATAGTAATAAAATACTTTGAAAACATCTCTCTGGAGGAATGTAAGTAAGGAATTGTGAAGTGGTGCCTGAAAGTCTTGATAAATTAATTAATTTACTTAAATAATAATTATTAAAAAATTCTTTTGTGTAAATTTCACAAAACTGTTTATTATTTTTTATAGTATAACTTTATAACTTCCAAAAAAAGGACATCCCGAATAGCGGAAAAATTGTTTTGTTTCCTTTGGTGGTCGTTATTTAGAGGTTTTGTATATATACTGTATATACATATACATATAAATAGAACAATTTTTTAAAATCTTAAATGCAAAAACTTTTGTATATAGGCCTAAATAGAAAGAAAGAATCTTAAATAGTAGTTTACTAATTATTCATGTACTACAGTACAAGTTATTAAGTGTGTAAACTATAAATTGTTATAAGAGTAAGCAGTAAATCATTATTTAGATTTCTTTCCATATACTAAATTAGTGTACAAAAGTTACAACATTTATAATATTAAGGATTTCTTTTTGGCAGGAAGATAAATTAACAATTACGAAGATAATCTATGGACAGAACGGAGCAGATCGATATGCTTCGATGCATGTTAACAAGATATAATCGAGCGTTTTCTAGAAAAGATTTTACTCTATTCGTAAAATCACTGCCGTAATAAATAATAATAATAATAATAAAATTCTTCGATTATATTATAAAAATTTTTTTTTATTATATTACATTTTTAAAATACTCCAAAAACAAAACTCGAATTTCCCTTTGTTTGGGGAATATTCCCTTAGTGTGTGAGTCACCCCCTCGTGCTCTGAATAAGACCATCCCACCTGTCAGGTTTGACGACTTCCGTTCGACCAATCAGAATCGAGAATGGTGGTCGGTCTTTGTCGGCTGCTAAAATGTGCTTCTCTCATTCTGAGATCGTCTCGATGGAAAAGTTGACATGGTTTCCGCTCAGTTACAAACTAAAGGTAAATTATAGCTTTATTTTTATCTAAAAAAGCAATCGTTTACAAGCGTTATCCTCTATTCCCTATCACCGGTTAGGGTTAGCTTTATCGCCGCATAAATCAATGTCTAACGCGTACATTCGATTATAAATAAGATATTTAAATTATTAGATGATTTAAAATATTAAAATTTATAAAATAAAATAATTTATAAAGTAAATATAATGTCCTTTTTTTTAATATATATATAAATATACCGTTATCGATCATAATTGGCTAGTTTAGTCGTGATGTCATTTTCATTGTTAAATCGACGAATCAGCGTTATTATTTTTTTAAAGCGTTTTATGACGAATTTCAATTTTTAAATTTTTGAATTTTTATCGAGTAATCAATCATATAAGACGCGTTGTAATTAAATTCCAAGATTAAACCCTTCACTTATTGTAAATTTATTAAAAAATTAAGTTTATTAAACGTTTAAAATTAAGTGAAATATATATTTCTTTTGTTCCTTATTTTAATTGTATTTTTTGTTTTTGTGTGTGTGTGTGTAAATTGAGATTTTATTTTCTTTAAGTCGGGGAATATTTTCGTATAAACATAAGAGTATATACAAGTAGAACTTAACAATTAATTTAGTTTTTTTTTTTTTGAAGAT